ATATTGTTAATAATTACATTACATTATTGCATAGGTATTATAATAACATTAGTATTATTAAAATTACCTTATTATTATTATTATAAACAGTTATGCAACAATTCGTAAAAAATCTGATCATTCGACTTAATGTTAATCAAGTTACTAAACTTCCAGGATTGTTAACTTTGTTTGATCGTTTGCAGAATATAATTGCTCTGGCACTTCTACGATACACCGGTAAGCGTATCCAAAAGATAGTTGGCGTCGATATCAAATAGATATTTAAAAACCACTCGGAAATGCATTGAAATGTATCCGTGTAACGGTATTTGTTAGAAAACGATGATGTAAAGATAACAGCCACAGCTGTGTTAATGTAGTACGGTAGAAAAAAACAACAATTAATCACGACGCAGAGGAATAATGTCACCGCTACTCGCCGTGATTTCCTAAATCTTGTTTTCCTGCACTGCCTCGTACTCAATTTTTCTTTCTCTTTCAACATCTTGTTAACTAGTCCGTATAGAATACTAGAAACCACCACCGTAATGGGACCAAGTAAACATCCTATAAGAAGACGGGTGTTTGGGTAAAATCGCTCTTTAGTAACAATGCTGACAGTGATAGCAAGCCATGTACCAAACGTAACGCATTTATAATGTCTAATGTTGATATTAGTGTATAGGACTGGCTTATAAACAGCTATGAACTTATCCACAGCCACTTTCAATATGTTTATCGACTCCATAAATATCATGCTATCGTATATGATTAGAATCGGCAGACATTCTATAACGGGTCTACACGCTTTACAGAACTTATGAAGCACTATGCTTAAAAATGCAAACATTGTTGCAGTAAGCCTTGTAGTAGTTGAACTTAGAATAAACACGTTGGTTTTTGTAAGAAGTTGCGGTGATCTAACAATCGAAAACAGAAATATCATATTTACACAAAAGCTGACGAAACAACACATCGATGTTACATGGCTGAAGAGACAGATATCCTTGCTCCAAAAAATTCTGACTGGTGGTTCAGTAGAATTGTTTCTTACGAAGTCGTCCATTTCCGTTCGAATAGAATCATTTGTTAAAAAATCATCCATTTTGAATCAAAACATATAGGCCTACTCAGATAACTTTGGGGCCCGAGGCTATTGGGGGCCCGTTCAATAAGAGGCAAATTAGGTATGAATTTACGTCTTTACGGGTGTTGCGAGTTTCGACGAAGTGCAGTAAGGAATGACTGGCCGTCGTCTGAGCAAATGTTAACACTATGGCTACATTATGATCACATTTTTAAAAATGTTGGCATCTCTAATTAGATACGTAAGGGAAAACCTGATGTGTGATTGATGGGGACATATAAACTTAATTGCACCATAAACTCCCTGATTGCAAATAAGCTAGCTTCGGCAATAGCCTATATACATCCTATCACGACTTTAATAAATTGTAGCAATATGATACTGTATGGCATCGGTGATTTTTCAAAATTTTTTCTGTGTGATCAACACCCCATTTATTAAAATTGCCGATCTGAGCCATACTATAACTGTAAAATCACACTAGTTTAATTTGGTTTTCTTCCAGCCTTTGTTTTCAGTGAGCGCGGTTCCTCAGCGGTTGTGATTCGACAGTTCGCTGAGGTCTTTGAGAAATGCTGTTTGTTCTATAAAACAATTTCATGTTTTAATAACGTAATAATATTGCAGTCTGGTTTTCAAAAGTTATTTTTTATTACGATAATACATTATATAACATAATGTCTGACTAGCATTGGAAGCGTTGCTACAACAGCGTTGTTTTCTGACATTACCTTGAATTGAGAAGAATATTGAGCAAACAGGTGGGATTGTGATTAAACCATGTGACGATTAAACAGTTTAAATTGACTAATTGCTTGTTTAGAGACGGCTTCTCCCATGTAATAATGTAAAAAAGTAGAAAAACTTGAGAATAATTACTTGAGAATGTGATTGAAACATTTCATTTCCCAATGAAATTTTCTTGAATTCAATAGCTCTTCTTTTTTTCTTTTTTTTTTTTATACATTTCGCAGGTGAAACACTGCATCTTCAAAGGATTATTGCTATCCCTAAGGCTTCTGACTGGTCTATTTTGTAGTAGGCCTAAAATATACCATGGCTTAACGTGATGCCTTTCCGGTAGTACACATCCAACCTATTTCATTGTCTTTTTTGTTATAAGATGTTGAGTTTGCCGTAGTGAACATTTTCTTATAGGACTAAATTAATTCAATATCCATGTAACCGTAAGTAGGCCTAGTATATAAATTAATTTTATCCATTAGATATGAGCATTGACCGAACAAAAGTAAAGAGTAAATAATAATTTGGGTGGAGTCAAAGCACACGACATTGCACTAAATTACATTTCGGTAACTAGCACATCTAGATGTGTATAAGAGACAGGCCATGTACCAAACGTAACGCATTTATAATGTCTAATGTTGATATTAGTGTATAGGACTGGCTTATAAACAGCTATGTACCTATCCACAGCCACTTTCAATATGTTTATCGACTCCATAAATATCATGCTATCGTATATGATTAGAATCGGCAGACATTCTATAACGGGTCTACACGCTTTACAGAACTTATGAAGCACTATGCTTAAAAATGCAAACATTGTTGCAGTAAGCCTTGTAGTAGTTGAACTTAGAATAAACACGTTGGTTTTTGTAAGAAGTTGCGGTGATCTAACAATCGAAAACAGAAATATCATATTTACACAAAAGCTGACGAAACAACACATCGATGTTACATGGCTGAAGAGACAGATATTCTTGCTCCAAAAAATTCTGACTGGTGGTTCAGTAGAATTGTTTCTTACGAAGTCGTCCATTTCCGTTCGAATAGAATCATTTGTTAAAAAATCATCCATTTTGAATCAAAACATATAGGCCTACTCAGATAACTTTGGGGCCCGAGGCTATTGGGGGCCCGTTCAATAAGAGGCAAAGTAGGTATGAATTTACGTCTTTACGGGTGTTGCGAGTTTCGACGAAGTGCAGTAAGGAATGACTGGCCGTCGTCTGAGCAAATGTTAATGAAGTGAAATCAATAAGGCAGCTTTCAATCTCGGTGAGCATTTAATGATACCAGATTAATCGTTGTTCGAACTACGTATGCCCGTATCATTGATAAGGCATGCGCAGTTCAAGCTGCGAAATGGCTTATCGATTAAACACACAACAGAAAAAAGAAAAAAAAATCTATTAACCAACTCAAAACTGGGATTAGGAAACGGAGATTGATCCACCCACTAAAGAACCAGAGGACATAAACTAGCATCCGACAAAAAAACAACAAAGTAAACAAAATGTAAGTAAAGTGTATCTCTATCTGTAATGTAGTTTGTACACAATATTTAGCGTAAGCATATACTAAGGGCGTACCCAGTTATTGAATTTTTTCGTGTGTAACTAAACCGTGGAGAAAGTCAAGCATGCCATGATAACTTTACTTACTTCATGGCTTAATAATGAAAGTAAAACATTCTATTATTGAAAGAAAGAAGATAACCATTTTTTCCATTAAGATTAGATCCATGATAAATATTGTTAATTTGTTATTTGAAATATTAAATTCAGTTAATGAACATGAATCGGTAAACAATTCTTGGTAGTAAACCCATAATATTCATTTCAGTTTGTAACGTTTCGATCAGTTGTCAATGGTTGAACTTATGAATCGGATGCTTGATTGTATGCATATTGTGTTTAATATTATTCAGATCAATCAACTTAGAGGATAGAAGAAAAAAAATCTGTTGTTGAAGGACAGAGGATGAATTTTTTTCATTAGTTATATTGATGATAAATATTGTTTAATTCTTATTTAAAATATTAAATTCAGTTTATGAACATGAATCGGTACCCTGATTGTATGCATATAGTACTATATTGTGTTCAAGATCAATCAATACATCTACTGGTGTGCGGATCCAGGAAAATGAAACAGGAGCTCGTAGGTTTGTATTAATAGGCTTGAAAGGACTGATACTGGCACTTTAGTATTCAGTATAATTTATTGTCCTTTGTAAAGTTCATTTTACATAAAAATATAACTGTAGAAATATTTGTTCATAAAAACCCTTCGTCTAAAATTGCTATCCTCCAGGAATATTGCGTTCATAGAAATGTCATAAACTGGATGCCAACTTCAATTTATATAAATCTTTTGGATGAAAATGAAATAAAGATAATTAATGTTTTAAATGAAATTGAGCAGCTGATTTAAAAAAATGATAACATTGATGTAATTGAGAATAAATTGAATAGACTACTGAAAATCTGATGTTCTATTTTTTGCCAACATCAACGTGTTAGAAAGGGAAGCAAGAAGCCTCCTGTAATCGATCGCTAATACTCCTATCATAGAAGAAAAAAATGAAGATGACGTGCTCAAATGGATTTTAAGGGAATGAATTAAAATTAGAAAATAAAAGAAGTCAATAGAGAGACTTAAGCATAGAGGTCTATTACCAACGAACGACTGTGAAAAAAACACATGTCATTAAAAACATAGATGTAGTCCCAAAGGAAATAATTAAAATAAATTAATACCAGTGGGTATACTACTATGATTCGGAGTATGTATCATATCTTATGAATATGTATTATTTCCACTATTAGGAGACTCGTAAATAATATCAACAGCCACTGTTTAAAAGGAAGCTGAATTGGTAGCTTGTTGAAAGTGTCAAAATGTGAGTATACGTGATTAATATCATTATTGAGTGTTATTACTATAGGCCTATTTTTAAAAGACAATCTATGTTAATTTAAAGTACTGTTATAGGAGGCCTATATCAGCTTTCAATTACAAGGCAATAATTCGCCCTATATTGTAGTTTATCTTTACTGAAAAACTGATATTCTATTTTTTTTTGTAAACGCCGACGCGTCAGATGGAAGCATGAAACCTTCTGTAGTATAGTCCTATCAGAAAAAAAAAAATGTTAGGCAGACATCGTTCGAATTATAAATCTAAATTTCAGGTTTTTATCGGCGACTTCGCCCCTTGAGCCCCACTGGTGGAGATTACGTCCTCAAATGATCATTTTTAAAACCTTTTATATAAGCTTTCATGCATTTTTGAAAAGTGGTTTAAAAAAATGTAGGTGGAGATGTAAGTGATAGACAGGTATTTCGAGTCCAATCACATAGTTACCAACCTGAAAGATTTGAAATGCGTGGACCCCCGCCAGGGTCCAGGGTCAGAGTCAGGTGGGGGTTCTGGGGTATAATCCCCCTGGCGCTCCGACGATCTGAGCATTTTAAGCTGTGTTTAGGGAGTGTTTGTTTATAATACCGGGTACATAAACAAAATTATTTTTAATAAAGCCACGTACAATTCAAGTTTTATTGTATGTTTAATTTGAGCACCCGAAATACACAAACATTTCATTACTCAGACAAAAAAAATGAATAGTGAACGTTTCCTATCATTCCACACTATTTCTACCCCTCCTTTTATACTCCTACACCCCTGATTCTTAATTAATTTGTTTAAAGGGCCAACATTTTTTTAGTTGGGCTCACGGGCCAAAGATAATGTATCTGAGTACCGGTAATTAAGCAACACGTTATAATGTTTTTGGTAATTTCATATTCTACTGTTTGTTGTGCTACACAACAATAGGCCTATATCGTAAAAAAATCTGTAACTTTAAGCAAAGACATAAGTATGAGTATTCTGTTCACACCCTAGTTGGTTAAAACAATAAGAAATTGCATTCGGTGTATACGTTAGTAATATAAACATTAAAAATATATATACGCATACATGAATTAAAAAAAATGCTCTGATAGATAAACAAATTAAATAAACTGAACTGCAACTGTGAAAGGTAACTTACACTCTTTTTCAAATTAAATAACATTAATTAAATGAAATATATTTAATGATATAGGCATGATGCAACATACGTAAAATATAGATGTAGGCGTAATAATCGTAGAAGAGAATCACTAATGGGAACTGACCTAAAAAGTATGTAGAAGTACAGAAATAATATTGCCGCTACTTGCCGTAGTTTTTTGTTTTGCTAATACAGATAAATATGGCCTATGGGTATATAGAACGACTAGGAAATAGGTGTGATATCGAAATTCCAAAAGAGCAAATGTTATAAAGATATCCTGTATTCTTTCCTCTATTTCTTATGTAAACCCGGATTTAAACTTTTTAAAACGTTTCTATGATGTGTCTTTAGACTTCATAAGTACTGTATTGCGAATGCATCACTGGTCAATTAGTCTATTGAATAACGCTTTGTATCATCGGCACACCTTTATAGTGTAACATTACAACGACTAGACGAAATTGATGTGTGTCGTCAGGCATTAATATTTTTCAGTTATAATAATAAGAATCTGAATGTAATTTTTTTTATTGGCAAATTTATAGATTGTGATTTCTTTTCAGTCTATTTCTACCGTTTTCTCTCTTTTTTTTTTTATCCTATTCTGTAATGACTACATGACTAAAGCTCATCCTGCCATATCCCAGAGCCACGATGGGACAAGCGAGACTATCTGCTTTGGCACTGAGCCACTGAGCGTGATGAAGCAGACAACATTGCTAACTTTGATCATGTTATTAACTTATTTGCTGATTTAAAAGCACACAAAATTCAGTTGCGAGTTTAAACAATGCTAAAAATTCAGCAACTTACAAGAATACTAAGCTGTAGGCGATAAATACCACAGCCTTACAAATTAGGATAATGGTAAAGTTGTATACAAAGTCATCGTAATGCATTTTCAATAGTAAGAAACAGCGGCGGCGCGACCCGGGCGGGGTGCCAGACCCCCTTTGGGCATAGCTGCTTTCCCCCACTCTACCCCCACCTCTCGTCGGGGAGAATAACCACAATTCGTCGGGGAGGGAAAAAAATTAAATGTATTTTGTACATATTAGTAGACTCTAAAATCGATTAAATAAGCCTTTGAAACCCATAAATTGTCAAAGATTTTCGGGGGCTTCGCCGCTCCCAGACCACTTTCGGAACATTTTAAGCGACGATCGACCGCGCCCACTTTGCTCTCGTCAGGGAAATCTTCCCCTTCGTCGGGGCATCCCCCCGGGACCCCGCCTTGAGAAAATCCTGGCGCCCACCTGGTAAGAAAGAACATATGAGAGCTGGAATAATAGTTATTCGTGTTTAAATAATGTTATTTAGACATTTTACAGTGAATTATATGGACGTACGGTACGGATATGCTTAAAGTCTATACAACCAATATCAATTTATTTCAAAATATTATAATTATAAAGGGAGGGGGGGCCGAGGGGGCGCAATTTTCTACTCTTTCCCCCGGGCGCCAAAACCTCTAGCTACGCCACAGGCGATAGCAACATCCAATTACAAACGGAATGGATCTTGGTTGACGCAATTCGACCCACTAAGTTTTGGCTCTATTTACAAAGCACAAGGACAAGAATACACACTGAGCTAAAGCCCAGAGGGTTCCTAGTAAGACAGC